GAGATCAAGTGGGACGTATGAGAGGGTAATAGATCCGTGGATGGAGACTCAAACCAATTTGAAAAACTTGCTGATAACTTTGACTACGACAGTTATGACCGAAGATCAGAAGCTTCGACTAGCAGCATTCTTAGTAGCAGAGGGGATGGTCATAGCAAATAATCCTTCTAACTATCTATCCCATTCTATATGCAAAGAGCTGCATCTTTTGAAGAGTATTGCGGCTACAATTGGGGCAACATTGGTTATGAGTCATTGGTTGAAGGCATTTTAACGATTGATGCAGAGAAACTTATGAGTAAGAAACAACATACCCTCGGAGGTTTTGGGAGTGCATTTCATATATGGGCATTAATTTCAGTTGAGGATTTAGGGAATGCGTTTTGTAAAAGAGAAAATCTTCATCGTCGGCCATTGATTGTGCAGTGGACAGAAACCAAAACCCCGACAGACAAGGAAGTAGCAATAATCTCAAGAAGCCCAAAGTACAAATTTCTTTACCAAAATAGCTTTTGTACACTGTTTTCTAAACTTTTTTAACAAGTTTTATAAAGTTTTTTAAACAAGTTTTATAAAAAATTTTAACAGTTTTTAACAATCTTTTGGCAGGTTAAAGTTTTGACTTTCATCGGTGACCCTAAAGAGTATAGTGAGTTGGTGTCACCGTTAACCCCTTTGGATATGGATTTGATGGATCTTGTTCAACTTCTTAACGGAGGACGTTACAGATTGAACAGAGTCGACTGGAACAACGGATGGATAAATTTCGGGAGCATCGATAAACTTCCAACGATTAATAGGAAACGATTAGTTGAAGAAACTGAGCCTGAAAATTCACAATGCAAAAGAATGTCTCTTGATGAGAAACTTGACATGATACTCAGTAAATGTGACACCCTTCTCAACCGTGTGGTGGTAATTGAAAAAGTTATCAAAGACAAACACAAAGAAAAACAGGTAATTATATTGCATCTTCTATTGTATCAGTTGTATCTTCTATTGTATCTATAGTTAATTATATAGTATCTTCGCAGGCTAATCATCCCATCAATTTAGATGATCATCAGAATTTGCAGGCCAATCGTCCAATTAATGTTGATGATCATCAGAATTCGCAGGCCAATCATCCAATTAATGTTGATGATCATCCAATTAATATTGATGATCATCCAATTAATGTTGATGATCATCAGAATTCTGATGACTCAAGTGACGATGTAGAAATTGTATTTGAAGAAAAGAATTCGGAGAACGAAACTGAGGTATACCTACTTATAGAAAGATTCATTTTACAGATATTTTATACAGTTTGTAACTTTTAAGATTGATTCTTTAATTTTGTTTTGAAAGATAATGATTCCCCAGTTTACACCACCTATGACGAGGCAGGACCCTCTACCACTTCAGGTTTGGGAGGAGATGAAGAGAAGCTAGAAAACATAAACAAAACTGTAAGAATTACATTCTCTAAAAAAACTTTATAAAACCCTTTAAAAATTCTTATAAAAATTTATAAAAATCTTTAAAAATCCTTATAAAAACTATTTAAACTCTGTTTAAAACATTTATAATTTTCTAACCCTTTATAAACCATTGTAGGCTGCAGAGGACAAGACTCCACCTCATGCAGAGGAGAATGTGGGAGTTAAAGATCACTTTGAAGAAGAGGAAACCCACGCTTCTCATGCTGATACGGTATGAATCGTCTGACGTAAAATATAAAATCTTATTTGGCTTATAAAAGTTTTATGTGCCTTACAAAAATCTTATATTTCTTCCAACTAGATTGTGGAGGAAGTAGAATCGGATCAGGAAAAAAATGATGAATCATTTGATAATGAATCAATGGATATAAGCGAAGATGAGAAGGTTGAAGGAGAGCCATATATTACGTCGATTTTCGACGATGAAAATGAAAACCAG